ACTATCACTAGAGCTTTCTGCTACCCCTAAGCTGTTGTCGGAGGCCTTTTTCTCACCAGAAAAGTCTGGTGATTGCTCAAGTATATCAACTTCTTCTGTTGGGTTACACGGTTCTTCAGTTTTAGAATCCAGCAGTGCTTTCTGTTCCAATTCATTGGCCTCATTCATCATGGAAAAGTCGGCTTGCGAAGCTGATAACTCACCATGTTTGTTGAGGGCAGGTGGTGTGTGAAGACGCTCTTCAGGAGAACTATAGCATAAAAATAAAAATATCAGAACCAGTAAGTGTGTTGCATCTGACCACAAGCACCAGTGCTTTAAGACGAGCATATTACTACAGAAGAGGGAGGAAGACAAGTTATGTAGTCCATTTACAATGCCAACTTCTTTGTAGCAGGAACTTGACACCCTAAAATTTACACTTCCACAGAAGCACACTAGCCTATAACTATATTCTCACAGTAATCTTATAGGCACTCATTTCATTTTTCACTTCAGCCAATTGTGCACAACACTTGGGAAGATATGAACTCAAGAATCTTGAAAAGCAATAACATATTGGTATTACCTTCCAATTTCAGCTACAGCTGTCTGGATGTTTTCCATCTTCACTTCTGGTTTTAGAAAATATCTCCCTGGAGCCTGAAAGGTTGCAATCTGCCACATGGATCAATGAGACAACAATAGTCAGAGATGTTGATAACTCTTACATAAATTGACAATTAAGAAAAACCGTTGGTTAAAAAGAACAACGAGTCTTATGCTTCTACTTATCTTTAAAGTCACTCTTTTCCCATTAGGGAGATATCACGGGAGTGCAAAATATAAGAAAACCACAACCATCATACGATGTTAATCCCTTTCCTCTACTCCAATTTTTCTGAGTGTAACTCTTTATTAGTGGTTCTCCAATTTGTAGGCCTAGCTCAAAAATGAATTCACTCGTCTTTATTGTGAGGAAAAGAGATGGCTACACCACAGCCTATTAGGTCAGAGTATTTGTGAGGTATGTATGCCCTTTCCCTATTGATAAAAAGGGAGAACCACTTCATGTATTACCTTCTTAAGGATTGGCTCAATTTGTCTTGCTGAGTTGGGAAAAGCGTTTCCAACAGATTTCTCCAAGGCCTAAGAATTCAGAAGAAATCATGTAAAAACCTGATGCATTGACAGAGAATGAATGAATTCGTATTTGCTTTCACAAATTCAACAAGAGTTCTATGACCCCAAATTAGAAGTTGTTAAGTAATGAGTACTACTGGATACAACTGCCACAAAAAGAACCAAAATAAACTAACGCCTTACACATACCTTAAGGCTCAACCCATTTGATTGGTTTTCCATTAGGGCAAATATCAACAAGCTACGCAGATCAGAAGGTTTGGTGTCTGTGCTCCTTTTGGACCCTAGCGTATTTTGCATCGCATAGCTCGGATGAATTTCTTTGACAGTGCTAGCAGTTTTATTCTCTGGTTGAGTGAGCATGCTAGATGAATGAACTGGAAAAGATAAAGGTGAAATTGAAGGTCTAATTCTCCTTGAAGGAGTTGCTACAGATAAACCCACAGATAACAGATTCAAAAGTAGGTCTAAAAGGGCCACCTGCTGTTAGTGTCATGATTTCGAGAAAAAGGGAAAATGAATTTAATTCTAATTTGAAGGTCAAATAGTATTGAAACGAGCATGTTTTTAGATGGGATATTAGGATAAAACAAATTAATTGAGAAAAAAAGAGAATATATTCATCAGACAATACCTGGAGGTGGTTCAGCTTTCCTTTTCTTCAAAGGGGGTTGCTTGAAACCTGCTCTCCATGTATTACCTGATAATATAAAGTTTGTCTACATTGCCAGTGCTAGTAATATAATTTGAAAAAGTCAAAGGAAAAACAAATATCTTACAGGCAAACACACACTTCACATCATAAAGCGTTCAGATAGTGAAAAGGTGGAAGCAAAATAGTACCTTCTACAGCTGCCATTGCCTTCACTTGACTCTTCGTAGATGGATTTCCATGGTCTAAAACGATGGCTCTATTTTCAGACGATTTTAACACAATAAGGACTAAGGATGAAGTATATAGCAAAGATAACTGAAATAGATTCCAATGTTATTTCAAAATTCATAGACAGGCCACTAAAGTAAATACCAATTATATATATACATATATTGCACCCACATGATAAGTATTTCAACAAAAATAGAGCATACTTGCGTGATTTAGACTTGCGTTCAGCTTCCGCAGACAGCATTTTAACATGATTTTTAGTCGATTCATCCAAAACACGCTGTACATTCACCTTTCTCCAAGCACTGCCCGATTCTACTAGCAGGCCATTTCCATGATCACCACTATGACACTCTTCATATATGTCACATAGGTCTCCCCCATCTCGTGACCATGTGAATCTGAAGTCTTTACTGCCCACCTTAATAACCTGATTTAAAAGTTCCAATCTTGATGTTAGGGTCAATCGAAAATAAGCAGGCCAGTTGATGAAAATCACAGAACTATATGTGAGTGACATCTAAGCTTTGCAAAAACCTCTAGAGGCTGCAAATCTAAGTGTATCTATCAACAGCTGGAATTTTAATTCTCTACGCTCTAACAAACCTTATGCATGAAGTAACAGCACTTTTAAGAGAAGGCTTTATCTTCTCCTTTACTCTATTTCTCAAAGGAAATTGTTTGTAATACATGTAATATACTCCCTCCGTCCCTAAAAGAACTTCCAACTTTCCCTTTTCGTCCGTTCCAAAAAGAACTTCTCTTTCCCTTTTTGGCAAAGAATTTGTGGTTCCCAGCAATTCTTACATATTTCTCTCTCCTCTGCACAACTCTCCACCACACAATTCCCACTTTCTTAATCCGTGTACCATTTGTACTACGGAAGAACATTTAGGGACGGAGGTAGTAGCATGATAGCATCCAATACTTCAAGCTTTCAGATATCACATTGGATCAGTCTCCCATGGGAATTTTTTACCGCAGTCTAAGTATATGTGGATTAATCTCCTCAATGTGATAAAATTAGCCAATAACATTTTGAATCTGAATATGTCAGGTTTCCCTTGCCATCGAGGGGGGTAAATTTGGAGCCCAACGAGAAGCAATTATATGATGAAGCTGGAAGGAATTTTACAATGATAAATGAAGTTTGCATCATTTGGTTATGTTCCATGATGTACATTTTTTATTATTTAACATGTAAGTTGTAACAAGATATGACTATAAAACTACTACCTCAAGTGATCACATTGTTTTGTGATCTTTTTTATGGAGAAAGCAAATGATAATAACAGTTATAGACTTTCATCACATTCATACTTTGTAGGGACACATTGTACAATATCCTCAAGAACACCAAACATCAATATAACAGCCTTTAGGATTCTCTGAATGCAGCAACTCCACAACTTGAAAATAGATGGTAAAATTTCAACTCCAAAATCAAAACATAATTCATATAATAAAAACGGGGAAAAATTCAATAACTCACGTTTCCATTAGAATTAGTAGCATTTGCATCAAATTTGATCTGCGCCACACCCCCTTCAGCCTCCACTCGCTTGATCTCCTCCACTAGGCCAGGTACCAGCCGGATTATCATTGAGAAGTTCAAAGCATTTCCCGCAACAAGGCTGAAATTTTCCTCTGTCTCATTGGAAGCAGCAGAGGAATTGGGGGCAGAAGAAGTGCCGCGGCAGCTAGGAGTAGCTCCACTTCCAACTGATAGGCGGCCTCCTGGTACGACAGACGAGCTCAGGATAGGTGGCGCGTGAAAGGATGAGGGGATGTTGCGCTTGCCACGGCCTCTGCCGCCACCGCGGCCATGCTTTCCGGAACCTCTGTACATTATATCAGTTTCAAATTACGTTCTCCAGCCGGTTACGATGTCACGGTTCAGCCCATGGAAATGGTGCAACGGAAAAGGGATTGACAAGAAGGAATCGGGCTTCCAGATACAGCAGTTGCAGGGTCCAGCGGGAAAGAAGAAGACCAGACGAAGAACGCAGCAATTTGGGGATTTCGCTCTTTTGTTTACTCCGGTCGAGGCCAAATCATACACGCTAAATCATCCGTGAATTTTCACTAAACGAATTTAATTTAAGTAATTCGTAGATTTAAGTTTAGGAAATTGCCATAAAAACTGTCTCCAATCTTGTACGTAGTATTTTTTTCTCTCAAAATAAAGTACTCCGTACTGTCATTAAATTCCTATAATGAATTAATGACATTAAATATTACAGTGTCATGTTAATGCTTATACTATAAGAGCATCACCAATGAGACACCGTTAACATGGAATAAATTATGACACATGTCAATTAATGAATGGAATAGTCATCCACATCATGTTGGAGTGGTATAACTTGACCGTGAAGCCCAAAAAATAAGTCCAACGCTTCATCGTTAACAGCCTAAAAAATTAATGCGTATATGAGGTATATCATACGAAGTATTTTATTAACGGCGTAAAAACCCTGCACGCCAATTCGCCAAACCTACGAGACATACTGTCTCCTACTTGCTCTCCTAGCAATTTCTCTTGAGATCAAAGTTTGGTGGGGTTATATATTGAATTGGGTCAAACAACTTGCTTAATCCACAACGATTTTTGCATACAGGTAATGAATTTTGATATCATGATGTATTTTATACTCCGTATATAACATTTATTTTTCTATTACGTGGTTTGAATTAAATTGTTAGATTCTTTTATTCTTTTTTCGGTTGAGTGTGATGATGATTTAAAAAAAAATTACTTTTTTGTAAGCAGGTTGATTTTGACATAAATGGAAACACCTATTTATGATTCGGATTCCAATAGCTCATCATCTAGCGAAGAGTCACTTACAACATTGAAACAAATGCTCGATGGCTCAAGGATGGATGATGCCGTTTATGACCAAATGAATATTGATGTAGTTGAAACGTGTGTGGTTCGTATCCCAATGATATTGTCTTCTACGTTAATAAGTAACAAAGGTCATCATGGCGGCTCAACAATTGGTAGGCGGTATATACATCGTGATAGGAAAGAGCGTCATGATCTAATTGTTAATGATTATTTCAATGGCGCGAATTCAAAGTATACACCAGAGAAATTTCGTCGCCGGTTTCGGATGGACATTGAATTATTCCAGCGAATTTTGGGAGCAATTGAGAACCATGATGATTATTTTACACAAAAGGTTGATGCGGTTGGAAAACCTGGGTTGAGTCCTTTACAAAAAATATTGGCTTCAATGCGTATGTTAGCATATGGTTGTGCAGCAGATATTCTAGATGAGTATGTCCAAATTGGAGAGAGTACAACAATTGAGAGTTTGAAACGATTTTGTGATGCTATAATTGATATTTTTGAAAAGCAATATCTACGAAAACCAGACAAAGATGATGTTGCACGACTTTTGAAAGAGGGAGAGGACCGAGGGTTTCCAGGTATGCTTGGTAGTATAGATTGTATGCATTGGCATTGGAAAAATTGTCCAACAGCTTGGCATGGGACACATACTAACGGTTTTAAAAGAGTTCCGACTCTTATTTTGGAGATTGTAGCTTCTAAGAATTTATGGATTTGGCATGCATTTTTTGGAATGGCCGGTACAAATAATGATGTTACTGTTTTAGATAGATCTCCTTTATTTGATGACCTAGTTAATGATAAAGCCCCGACGTGCAGTTACGTGGTAAATGGTCATTCTTATAATATGGCGTACTATCTATCAGATGGAATTTATCCGCAATATGCCACTTTAATCCAAACAATCTCAAATCCCTCTTCTTTGAAGGAGAAACTATTTGCAAGGCATCAAGAATCTGTGAGAAAAGATGTAGAACGAGCATTCGGAGTATTGCAAAGTCGGTGGCATATTGTCAAAGGTCCGGGACGTATGTGGAATCCAAACGATTTGGGAAAGATTATGAAAGCGTGTATCATTTTACATAACATGGTTGTTGAAAGCGAGATTAGTCAAGGCCTTGATCCTCAAAGTTGGCAACCCGAGGGAGATGATACAAGTGATGATGTTATTCCGGAACACGATTTCGCCTTTCTTTTTTCAAAGATGAATACTCGAATGAAGGAGATACAAAATAAAAGAGTGCATAGAGAATTGAAGAATGATCTCATAAATCATTTGTGGGAGTTACATGGTGGCCAACAAGTTGATTGATCTTTTATTATTATGGCCTCATATACTGTATTTCACCTACTCTCAAGGCCAACAATGATTTTATAGTCGGATATTCTTTAATATGGTTCTTGGGCATTAATTTTATTACTCCTTTTATTTGCAATTTCAGTAGTTATTCTCTAAAAAAATCACTGATCTTAAAATTATCTCATTAAAAATATGCTATTGTTGATAATGCTGGTATAAGACTATAAGGCAGTAATAGATTAATTGCTCACCTTGTGTTTATTAATGGTACGTAGTGCATATATAGTAAACTCATTAGGATGTAGCCAATGAAAGATACATTATTGAGGCATACCGCTATATAATTCTAGTCTAGTAGAGCTAAGACATAAAATATTACAAATAATGGCAATAATACAAATAATATTAATACGTAATAGTTATCAATAGTGTGAGATCTTAAAAATCTTTGTACTAGTAAGCAACCTACTTCAAAAATAATGTTTACGAGCATCAACAAACAGTTTGATTTTAAGAACCAAGGGGGAAAGAGTAATTAATCATAAAATTATCTATTAAAAAACTGTTATCAATTGTACTGGTAAATCATCTACTTCAAAAGAAAATGCAAAGAAACATCACCAAACAACTTGATTTTGAGAGGGAAAATTGGAAAAACATTAACTAATCAGAAAGCTATCTAATAAAAAATTACTATCAAGTGTATTAGTATAATCTAGCTCAAAGGAAAAAACACAGAGCATCAACAAATAACCTGTTTTTAAGAGAGAGAAAACGTGGGATAAAATAACTAATCATAAAACTATCTATTAAAAAATCTGATATCAAGTGTACTAGTAAATAATATACTTCAAAAGAAAATGCAGAGGAGCATCCACTGAATCAAAGTGTACTAGTAAACTGATTGTGAAGGGTTGACCGTCAAGTGCTGCACACAGAAAAACAGAAATGGTCATTACTCATTAGTACTTGAGAACATTCAATCAAAGTGAAGACAAAGCAGAAACATTTGTATTTATTATTTACCTACTAGACCCAAAGAGGCCATCTTTTTTCCATTCTTTTAAAATGTTTGCTTGCATGTCTTCATATGCTGCTCGAGCAGTTGGTGAAAGCTTATTTAAATCTTGATTCATGATATGTTGTTGCAGTTTCCTTCTCTGTGCCTTCTCTTTTAATTCAATCTCTGTACTTATCAGCTTCTCTTTCAATTGGAATTCCTTTTGATCATTCTCTTTTCTCATCTCCAAAGCTCTAATATTTGCACTAACTTGGTTTTCTAAAGTACCTTGTAGCTTGTTCAATGCATCCACCACACCATATTCCTCATGCAACTTTCTTTTCTTTTCCTTGGTACCTTTTCTTCCTTGGGGACGTATGAGACCATCTGAGTTAGTACCTCCAAAGACCACAGTTTCTTCATTAATATTCGGTACGGGATCCTCTGTTACAGGTAAGCTAGAGGCGTCAGTTGTTTTTTTATTTGTTTTAGCTTGCTTCATATTATCCGAGTACCATTTTGGATTTTTTGTCATTATTTCCCAACAATGAAGATACTTGAATGAGCATCCTTGAATGTCTTCATATGACCCCATTGCCTTTTTTATCTAAAAGATACAACAAATAAACAATTTTATTAATAGAATGTTGTTTAAGGTAATATATAATACCAAGATATTTCTCAAACAATTGACATCTGACTAAGACTTTTCTATAAAACTGCAATACTAAAAATTATAACACTCTTACCAAGTCATCCAAATTTGTTCCACTTTGAGGGTGTCTATCCAATCGCTCGTAATGTCCAATGAACTTATTCACTGCTGCTTGTATTCTCCCCCAATGACATTGCAAGCTGTTGTTATTTCTAGGAGGATTGCAATTACCTCCCATATTCTCCTTAAAGACATCTTCAATTCTCGCCCACATAGCAGTACTTTTCTGATTGTTTCCGATGTCTGAATCCATTGAAACGTGTAACCACGCCTCCGTCAATGCTACATCTTCTTCTCTAGTCCATTGGCTCCAATCCTTTTTGGAAATTGCAGTTTGAGATGCAGTCGGGATATCATTACCTTTCTTTTTTGATTTTTTTTTTGAACTCTCAATTTGAGCATTGGGCATTGTAGTATTTAATATTGGAGAATTCAAGATACTTTGGAATGGAATTTGAGATCCATATTGGTCAGTAAAAAAAGGATATACTCCATTGGCCTGGTTGTAGTGATAAGCAGGTTGAATTTGTGGGCTTGGATGAAATGATGGGTTTGAGAGTTGAGATGGTATTGTGTGATTGTATTGGTATTGAGAAGATGAGAAGGCCTGAGAGTCCTGTGAATCCATTGTTTAAAAAGGATGCCTGCAAGAACAATTAGGAAAGCATAATGTTAAAGATATGATTGTAGGCATGTGAAAACTAGTTTCTTTTTATTCAAATAGGCTACCGGAAGGATTACCACAATACATATAAAAACAATCATAAACAACTGAAAGTGAAGAGTATAATAAAGTTGTTAAAATTTTGTTCTTATATGTACCAGTAACACAAGTAGAAAAAGTAGAGATCTGCATGTCTTTTGGGAATGAAAATGCAGGAGAATTTTCCAAATTGAAAAATGAAGTAATTCAAAACTCTCAAGTAATTCACAATACAAACTATAATTGCAAGAATCAACAAGAGAAGACATTTGGGGGACTAAGTAATTCGAAACTCTCAAGTAATTCACAATACAAACTATAATTGCAAGAATCAACAAGAGAATCAATAATAAACTTCCACAAAAGAAAAGTGGAACAAGTAAGAATGTTCAAATGAAGTACTTACAAATAAGCACACATTCATTGACATGATTTTCACAAATACAAAACTCTCAAGTAATTCACAATACAAACTATAATTGCAAGAATCAACAAGAGAAGACATTTGGGGGACTAACCATAAGTAGTCTATAAATTATAAAACAGAGTAGTTAATAAACTAAAAGAGGTAACGATCAGATATAACATTCAGACGTATATTTAATAACATGAGAATAAATCATACCTCCAAAATTTGATACTTGCAAGTGGTACCTGGGATGCATCGTTTTGAATATTACTCCGTATTGTTTTGCAGTAGGGTTATCAGGTTATGTATGACCATGAGTTCATTACTCAATCGAAACAGGGTTAATCACTTCTGGTATATTAGGAATTTCGGTTGAGAGAAGTGATACCGATAGAATCACTTCACATGAAAATCAATCATACCTCCTTCACTTTTTGAAATAATCACTTTTTATCATTTAAAAAAGATGGAAGATATTTGTGTCTAAATCATACTTCGTATTTGAGAGAAGAAGATATAATTTTAACAAAGATGGAAGAATCTATTAACTTACCAAGAAATTAAATCCACCGAAGAGAAAGCTTCTACCTTGGAAGGAACATCGAGATCTTTACTGAGGAGCCAAAAGGGGGAGAAAAGTGGGTGGGAGATATCATTTTCCCCACTACTTATCGAATTTTTTGGCGGAAGATTTTTCATTGGGGAGAAAAGTGGGCGGGAGATATTTTTACATTGGCGGAAGATTTTTCATTCGGCGGAAGATTTTTCATTTGGCGTTTTGGTGAGTCAGCATGTCAAAGGTAATGTTATCGTATGACAGTGAGGTTAACGCTGTTTCATTTAATGGTTGACAGGTCAGCATCACATTGGTGATAACATACTCCGTTGGAGACGAAAAAATCACGGAAATGTTAACATGTGATGACGACGCCATTTTTTTAATGTCAACAGTCACCCCATTGGTGATGCTCTAATATAAATTGTTTTGACGGTAATGACTTCAAAATGCCGTTATACTACCTCCGTCCCTTGAAACTTTGATAAGTTTGACCGGCACGAGATTAATAAAGTAAAAGTTGTGTGGTTGAGAATTGTGCAGAGGAGAGAGAATTAACTGGAACCACAAATTATTTACTTAAAAGAGAATGTGGCAAAGTTAATGGGACATCCAAAAAAGGAAAGTTGACAAAGTTTTAAGGGACGGAGGGAGTACTACTTTCATTTTAGGAATGAGTAAAGGGTCAGTTTAGTCCTCGAAGTTGCAAAAAAGGCGTCAAATAAGTCTTTATATAGAAGATTCTGTCTGGACGTGCCATTTGAGGTGGCTCCCGGTGGAATTTTGTAATAATTTTTTTTTTATCATCTTATTCATTAAGTCTAGTTTATTCATACCAAATTTCAGCTAAAAATTCAATCGGGAAGACATTCAAATGAATTCTTGAAGATAACAGCGCTTTTAACGACACAGTTATCTTCAAGAATTCATTTGAATGTCTTCCCGATTGAATTTTTATCTGAAATTTGGTATGAGTAAACTAGACTTAACGAATAAGATGCTCAAAAAAATTCATCAAAAAATTCCACTGGCAGCCACCTCAAATGGCACGTCCGGACAGAATCTTCTATATAAGGACTTATTTGACCCCTTTTTGTAACTTCGAGGACCAAACTAAACATAGAAGATCTATTTTGGAATTTCAACACTTGCTTACTCCTATTTCAGAAACTTTCCTTTTAAAGTTCTGTTCTAATCTGGTCTAATTAGGGCGAGCCAAATTAGATCTGATCTATTTAAGACTGATCTGAGCTGGTCTAGTCTGTCTAGTAGATGTTTGTTCGGCATGTATTATAAGATTTACCTTTTTTAGATTTGGTCTGATATGATCTGGTTGGTCTCACACTGAAACTAATCCAATTAACACATCTTGAGATTAGTGAATTTAAGTAATCCATAGATTTGGCATTGTTGATCTAGATTTTTTGTTGCGGGTGGTAAGGGTCGGGCAAGGGGAAGGGGTTCGTGGTTGGGGCACGGCTGGAGGAGGGGTGCAGGCTTTTGGGGGCAGGGGTATGTGTTGGTGTGGAAATGAGGGCAATGTTTGGGCAGGTTGGGGAGGGAGGGTTGGGGAATGGGTTAGGGATTGGGCCCATAGCTTAGGAAGGGTTAGGCTATGGGTGGGCAGACAATAGGGAAAGGGTGGGGGTTAGGGAGTGAGAGAAA